ACTATCTAATATAAAGTATTAATTATGGATATAAGATTCAATATGAGAGCAAAGATAAAAATACATGGGGGCTTCATAAACCATGCAGTGGCATTTGAAGGATGGAAAACAAAGGATTTACCAACACATGATTTTGGAAGGTGGTTTTGGGCAGCCACAAGCAAATGATGTGTGAGACAACATGACACATGGGATTAGAAAATTATAAAAAGAAAAGTTAGGAGAATTAAGAAATTTTGGACCTAGAGGTAAAGGATCTTAGTGATGGAACGAAAGTGTTTAGAGTAAAGTTAGAGCCAAAAAAATGTTTTAAAGATTAATTTGGGTTAAAAAAAGTCTAAACTTGGAAAAATTATCATAAGGCTAAGAAAGAGACAAAAAAGATGGTAAACAAAGCAAGAAATCATACTTTTGAACATTCATAACAATCATAAGAAACCAGAGGGAGGGAGAGAGAGAGAGAGAGAGAGAGAGAGAGAGAGAGAGAGAGAGAGAGAGAGAGAGAGAGAGAGAGAGAGAGAGAGAGAGAGAGAGAGAGAATATATATATATATATATATATATATATATATATATATATATATATATATATATATATATATATATATATATATATATATATATATATATATATATATATATATATATATATGCAAGACACTTGAATCGAATGAAGTCTGTTAAAGATAAAGAAAGAAAATTTTTGGTTCAAGAAAAAGATATAAATGATAGGTGGAAGAAATATTTCCATATTTTTTTTCATAAATAATATGAGATCTTAACGAACTTTAATTGACTAAATACTAGATACACTACTAGAAAAAACTAATTTTTATGACAACTATTTCACGTCATATATAAAAAAAATCAAGATATAATTCCTGGGTGGGCCATGTTTTTTTCTTAAAACAATATACAATTTGTTCTGTCGATTTTCTTTGAAATCGATGGGTAAACTAATTTAGTGTACATGCTTTAAATCCCAACAACTTTAGAACATGTTTTTAATTCATTAAGAGTGACACTTTTGCCAAATTATAGAAAAAATGGAGAGTAATAGATGTTGTTCATATGTTCCTTTGATATGCATGTCTAAGCTTAGGATTAATTTGATCTCTTGATGTGTAGGAACCACCTTGCACATGTTTTCTATTATGTGTGACACTTTTGTTGTTGCTATGATGTGGTGTGTATGATCTTTTGTGGTATGCTACTTGCATGCTCAAATTTGTAATTTTTTGGTGAAGGTTTATTCCTACACATCTTGTAAGAATTATAAGAGTTATTTTAGCCAAAATTTTTCAAAAGGAGAGATTGGTGTATCTTTGATTGGCTGCATTAGATAAAACAACATGAGTTGTACGAGATGTATTATGGTGAAGATGCAACATATGGAACAAGATGTTCCAACATATGTGTAACATTTGGCCTCAGGCTACAGACCAATGTTGTGAGTAAATTTGTGCTCGTTTTTGTTTAATTCCTAGAAGATCTAGTGTTTAAGAGTTGTATCTTTTAGCAATATGTTATTAGTAAGACTTGATAAAAAGATTTATTAAGACCAAATCAATTTAAGATCAAATGAAATCAAATGAAATCTTCATCATAATCAAATCTGTTGTTATCAAATCTAATGTCCATTGAAGAAAATCCCAACAAATGAATTATTATTAGTTGAGTTGTAATTCAACAATCCTTAATCATGTTTTATGTATTAATCACTAGGATAGTGATTGAGAGAAAGTGTGAGGAATTCTCATATTTAGAGGGAGTTTTAAATAGAATGATACTGGTAGTATTAGGAAGTTCATATAAGACTAATTATACTAATACTATAAGGGTTGTTCATATAAGACTAATTATACTAATACTATTGAGAGTGACTTTCTTTTCTTGGATTGGAAGCCCCCTAGACATAGGTGATGTTGCTCCGAACTGGGTTAATAATTTTCTTGTGTTATTTATTGCTTTATGTTTTAAGTTCTATTATCTATCAATTCTGGTATAAGATGTTGGACATATTGTCTTAGACATCATGTCTGACATCTAGCCTATGAAAAACATAATTTTAAAAAGGGAGAGAGAGAGAGAGGGAGATAGAGAGATAGAGATAAATATAGAGAAAGATAGAGAGAGATAGAGAGAGAAAAGTGTACACAAGATTTATAGTGGTTCAACTATCGTCCTTGTTAAGCTTAATCAATTATCTAGTAGTTTCCCGTTGAAATATTATGGTCTTCCAATAATATTTGTGACAAAATTATATTAGTTTAGTACAACCATAATATCCAAGTTAACTCTAAAAATATAAAGACCTTCCATTTAGATCCATTGATGACTTATACACATTTTAAGAAATGATCTCTTTGTGAAATATTCACGTGAAATATCTTAAATTTTCCAGCCTCAACAACTTAATTTCTTCAAAGTCTTTGTTCTTTAGCGATATTTACTTGATCCTACTAGTATTTTAAGTGTTGGTCTGTCAGAAGATTGAGAATAACTTCCATATTGTATGTAGGCTTCCACACACCACTACCAAGATGAACCTAGAGAGAAGAACCTCTTTATTTTTCATTAGAATTATCAAAATCATCCACAACACCACACACCTTGCAAACCTATGAAATCTTAACCAAATCTTCAAAGAAACATTAAATTCAATAAAAGAATTCCCTCTACAATCTCAAATATTCAAAGGTGAGATTCAAATCCATGCAATAATGGAAAAAGAATGAGGTTGAAGATGAAATAATTCATTTGCAATTGTTCACGAAAAATTCAAAAGTATTTTGAAAATATGAGAGAACAAGTGGTTTATGAGTTTTTAAATCAATGTTGGAAGTGTATGTTTTCTAACATTATGAAGGTTTTGAGAGAAAATGGCATTTATATGTGTTGAAGATCTAGCACAAAATGAAAGAAAATGGTGTATGATTCAAGTCAAAAGTAAGAGTTATGGTTGGAATTAGAAAACCAAGTGATTTGAATAAAGAATCAAAAACTATATGAAACCCAATTGTGTGATTTGAGTCACAAGATTTGTTATTCAATTTATTTAAATTGTTGATTCGAATCAGCGTTCCAGAAGCTATCATGAAAATTTCCATTTTAGTGTGATTTGAATAAGGCAACTTTGTGATTCGAGTCATGCTACTTTGATTTGAATCATACCTTTATTTGATTCGAATCAGGAGATCTGGAAATGCATCCATGAACTCACTCTAACTTTGATTCAAGTCAGACCAACTGTATAATCTGAGTCACATAGACATAATCCACTTTCACTAAATTTCAAAAGATTTTTGAGATTCTACAATTGTCATGACTTGAATCATTCTCAAGCATAGTTCTTGATAAAAAAACTCAATAGATTAATTTCAATCATATTTCTTAATCTATAATCAAACATGCATGCTAAAATACATATCTAAAACTTAATCTAGAAATGTGCAATTGATGAGGATACTCAATGACATAAAACTAAAACCAAAAGCTTAAAAGACAAAATGCAAAACCATAACCCTTAATGTATAAGAGACATGCAACTTTAATCAGGTTATTGAAGGGCCTTTAGATCGCTAAAACATCTTAATCCTTGACCCTCTGACCCCCCCCCCCCCCCCCCCCCCCCCCCCCCTCACGGTTCGGAAAACATAGATGACACCCACACCCCAATTGACGATCCCACTTCATTGTTCCCACCTGAAGGACGCGCAAGATGCCAAATGGCAAGCCCTCTCTCACTATCTGAATACCTTGTTTTCAAAACACATAATTGATTATAGGATTAACTAGTCTCTCAATAATTAAGCACATTAAGCACATGGGTAACTTTTTTTCAAAACTACGAAGAAACTGGGGATTCGAACGAGCACATTAAGCACATGGATACTATTCTCGACATTAAATGAAGCCCCCATGATGCAATTTAAGACCCTAAAAGGAGACTCTATCAATTCTCAGAAGAAGTTGTGATGATTTCACTAAAATATGAAATAATCCCTCTAAGAGTATATCAACACAAAAGTAGTATTGGAGCTACGAGAATCCAATGACGTGCTAAAATTTTGGATCTTCGAGAAAAGATTAAAGAGGAACTACATGTTATGGTCACCTTTGGGGAAGGAAGAGATATTTGAACGAAATATTTATAATTTTTGATAGTCTCATATAAAAGCGTATACAACTGCATCTTAGGAAAACCTTTCACTGTAATTTTATACATTGTAGTCACACCCTTCAACCTAAAGATGAAATACCATAATCTTTCTGACGAACCAGTGACAACATGTGATGACATAGTAGGAACCTGAGACATATATAAAGTCCTATAACACAATCGAGATGCAACGTCCATAAAAGATAATACAAGTTTAACTCACTTTAGATAGGGATCTTTACATAAGTTAAACAATTCAAAATTCGAAGATAAAACGAGTTAGATTGTCTTTTCTTTATGATTTTATAGAAAAGACCTTGGTCTTAGATTTGAAAACTCTATTAAACACATATGAAACAATTAATTATATTTTTTCCCCACCAATAAGAAGCAACACTCAAATTTATCATAATAGCAATATTCAATCTAGTTAAAGTCTTTCAATTTTACCATTAATTTATGAGGAATATATGATGTACTTGTCTCACGTATAATTTCATGTAGTTTATAACCTTCATTAAACAAATTGGATTCATATTTTCTGCATCTTTCGCTACAAAATCTATTAATTTTTTTACAAAATTAATTTTTATTCAATTATCAATATCTTAAACATGTCAAGAACGTCATTTTTATTTTTCGTACGATATGATAAATATAATTAGAACAATTATCAATAAAAGTGATAAAGTAATATTTTTTATTTCTAATTAAATTTCCATTAAATTCACACATATCAATGCATCAAATTTAAAGGTTAGAACTCTTTAACAACTAATTTATGAGTATATGGTTTTTTAGCTTGATCAGTAATATATAAATTGCATTTATCAAATTTGATGAAAACGAGATCGTGCATGATTGGATCTAATAAAGTAATTTGGGGTCCTCCACAACACATGCTGATATTCGGTATGGCTTGTATTCCACTTTAATGCATGTGTCTATTTCCTGTCACGTCATGCATATTGTTGTTTAGTTGATTACTTTATCTCTTTGCTCTTAAGGTGTTGGTTGGTTGTTCATCTTTTTATTTATTTTCTTGTTCATGTAACACTAGTTTACTAGCTAAAACCATGAAACCACATGCTCTTCTTATCCCATTTCCAATACAAGGTCACATTAATCCATTTCTCAAACTAGCAAAGATCCTACACAATAAAGGCTTCTATATAACATTTCTCAACACTGAGTTCAACCACAAACGTTTGCTCAAATCTGGAGCCTCTCATGATTTTCTCAATGGTTTCTCAGATTTCAAATTTGAAACCATCCCAGATGGCCTCCCTTCCACAAACAACATGGATTCAACTCAAAGCATTCCGGATCTTTGTGACTCTACAAGTAAAAACTGTTTGGTACCATTGTGTGACCTTATATCAAAACTTAATGATCCTCCAGTTACTTGCTTAATCACTGATGGTATCATGTCTTTCACTATTCAAGCTTCTCAAAGATTTGGGTTGCCTAATGTTTTCTTTTGGGCTCATAGTGCTTGTGGTTTCATGGGCTTCAAAGAATGCAGGAATCTCATGGATAAAGGCATAACACCACTTAAAGGTAGATACAACAAAACTTTACAATCTTTTCTCTAGTACAACTAGTTGTAATTTTATTCATATGATGAAAATTTTCAGATGCAAGTTATCTAACAAATGGTTATTTAGACACCATCATAGACTGGATCCCAGGCATGGAGAATATTACATTAAGAGACCTTCCCGGTATCTATCGTACAATAGAACCGAATAATCCACTTATAAACTTTGTGGCAGAACAAATTGAAACAGCTTCAAAAGCTTCTGCTATTATTCTACCAACTTTTGACGCATTAGAATCTAATGTGTTGAATGAACTGTATACAATGTTTCCTAAACTCTACACAATAGGCCCTCTTGAGTTATTCCTAGATAAAATTTCAGAAAATAATGAATTTGAATCTATCAAATGTAATTTGTGGAAAGAAGAAAGTGAGTGTCTCAAATGGCTTGACTCACAAGAACCAGATTCCGTTCTGTATGTGAATTTTGGTAGTGTTATAGTCATGAAGTATAATCAACTTGTTGAATTAGCTTGGGGAATTTTAAATAGCAAGAAAAAATTCTTGTGGGTGATTAGGCCTGATATAATTAAAGGTAAAGGTGAAAGTGAAAGGTTACTTGTGCCACAAGAAATTGTGGAAGAAACAAAAGATAGAGGACTTATGGTAGGTTGGTGTCCACAAGAGAAGGTTCTAAAGCACAAAGCAGTGGGAGGATTTTTGAGTCATTGCGGATGGAATTCAACAATTGAAAGTATATGCAATGGCGTGCCTTTGATTTGTTGTCCATATTTCAATGATCAATTTATCAATTGCAAGTATATATGTAGCGAATGGAAATTTGGAATTGTGATGGATAGTGAGAATGTAACAAGAGATGAAGTTGAGAAGGTTGTGGTAGAGTTGTTAGAGGGTGAAAAGGGTAAGGAGATGAAAAGAAAAGCAATTGAGTGGAAGAAAATGGCAGAAGAAGCAACTGATTTTGATGGTTCCTCTTGTTTGAATTTGGAAAAATTGGTAAATGAAGTGTTGTTATTCAAGAGTTAAGGCTACAAGAGAAATTATTGATTAAAGATATTGTATTTCTCATTATTCATATTTTATGAGTTCATTGCTTCAAGATATTGTATTTCTTAATATCACATTTTATGAGTTCATTATTCTATGAGTTTGTTTTCCACACTTGATTTGATTTGGATGTAAAATCAACTTTATGTGGTTTTGGAGTTTTTAAGTGTTTTTTTATGAATAATATGAATGTAAGAGGTGAAAGTTGACTCGTGTGAAATAAACTCATGTTCTAAAAGATTACTTTCAAAAAAAGATGTGTTCGAATGTTTACTTTCGAAGAGGGGGAATTTCTTTGTTTTCATAGAGTTTTTGAAAAAATGTGGAGTATAATGAGAAACACATTTTTATTGGTGGTAGGATGACAAATTAGGTTAGGACTTGTCGGATGAGTTGTAATTTTGAACAAGTCATTAAAAATTAGTTTGTTTTGCCTAATCAAATTAGTCGCATTGCAATAAACAGTTAACTAACCAACAAAGATAAAATCTATTTTACATGGCTTCTTTATTTTATTTTGATTAAAAATTATATCACATATTTCTTTGGTTGTTATAAAATCGAGGGAGAAATGTTGATTATGACAAGAAAATTGTAACAGAATAACAAACTTGAGAAGAAGAGAAAATAGGCCATTGGAGAAGAAGATAAAATTTGTTATTCTATTGTTTGATTGGTAGTTACAGGATAAGGTTATATATACAAGTATTGAGCCCAGTAGATAAAAGACAAGTAAGCTAGCTGGACTATACACAAAGTAAAGTATAAAAGGACTATGTACAATACGTATAATCTAATATGCCCCCTCAAGTTGGACTGTGTAAACTACAAAGTCCCAACTTGGTCATGATGGAGGAAAAAGCTGGAGAATATAGAGGTTTGGTAAAAACATCTGTCAGTTGAGTCGTAGTGGAAACATGGAGCAAATGAATTAGCTTGGAGTTAATTTTCTCTCGAACTACATGACAGTCTAGTTCAATATGTTTGCTTCGTTCATGGAAGGCAGGGTTATGAGCAAGGTAGATTGCAGATTTATTGTCACAGTATACTGAAGCAGGGTGAGGGAAAAAAATATTAAGATCAGCAAACAGATAGTGTAACCACTGTAGCTCACATGTAAGAGAAGCCAAAGCCCGATACTCAGCTTCAGTAGAGGACCTTGATACAGTATTTTGTTTCTTTGACTTCCAGCTGATAAGAGAGGAACCAAGAAGAACGCAATAACCAGTGACAGATCTTCGTGTTGTAGGACATCTGGCCCAATCAGAATCAGCAAAGGCACACAACTTCAATGAACTGGAAGCAGAAAAAGGACACATTTAGCAGGTGAGGATTTTAAAAAACACAGAACTTTGGTAGCAGCCTGATAATGAGTTGCAAGGGGCTTGGAGACAAATTGACTCAAGTGTTGCATTGCAAATGAAATGCCAGGCCTAGAGTTTGTCAAGTATATAAGCCTGCTAATTAATCTTTTGTACATAGTGGGATCAGGAAGGATTTCACCATCATTAGGAGATAATTTGAGATTGGGATCAAAAGGAACTGAAAAAGGTTTTGCTGCAAGATAACCTGTATCTTCCAAGAGTTCAAGAGTGTATTTTCTCTGATTCAAGAAGATACTTTTTGAGGACCTGGCAATCTCAAAGCCCAAATAAAATCTCAGCTGACCAAGATCTTTGATCTTGAATTTATGGTGAAGGGTGGTCTTAACAAGTTCTATATCCACCATAGAATTACTTGCAATAACTATGTCATCTACATAGACTAATATTGCAGTAAAAGTATCTTTCTGAGATTTCACATAGAGAGAATGATCAGCCTGTGACTGAGAGTAACCTAATGATATAAAAAAGGAAGAGAGTTTAGATCACCATTGTCTGCTAGCCTATTTGAGACCATACAAAGACTTTTGTAACCTGCATACTTGAGAAGGATTAGAAATATAAATGCCAGAAGGAGGTGTCATGTACACTTCTTCATGTAAATCACCATGCATAAAAGCATTATTGACATCTAATTTCTCAAGATGCCAACCCTTTATAGCAGCTATAGAAAGAATAACTCTGACAATTGTGATTTTGGCCACAGGGGAGAAGGTATCAAAATAATCAATGCCCTCTATTTGTGTGTAACCCTTTGCTACAAGCCTTGCCTTGTATCTCTCAATGGATCTATCTGCCTTGTACTTAATCTTATAGACCCACCTGCAACTAATAGGAACCTTGCCTGGTGGGTGATCAACCACAGTCCATGTTTGATTTTCTTCAAGGGCCTGTATTTCAACATCCATAGCATGTTTCCAACAATTCATCTTTATGGCTTGGTTAAATGTTTTTGGTTCAGTATTTGTTGATATAGAAAAACAGAAATTTTTATAACAGGGAGAACACTGATCATAAGTAAGAACAGATGATAAAGGATATAAGACTTTAGAGAAAGCAGTAGAAGGATTATGATTGAAATGGGCAGAATAACAATGATAATCTTTTAAGAAATGGGGAGGTTGAGTAGGTCTAGAGGATTGTCTAGTGGGTAAAGAAGGAGGTACTATAGAGTCTTGGATGCTGGGACTATGAGAGGGAGGTTCAGAAGAAAGGATATGGAACTAATCAGTTGACTGATGCAGTTCAGGGGCTAGCTCTGCAATAGCAGTGGGAGTGACAGGCTGGCTATGTGATTCTGCAGTAGGAAAAGGGGAGGTGGGACTGCTCTGTGCAGAGTCAGGCTGAAAGGTCATATCAGTTGAAAAAGGTAAAGCAAAGTTGGGACTATGAATTTGTACTGGTTGAGGAGAAGCATCATCATTGTCAATCTGAGATGTACTAATATCAGAAGGAAGAGATAGATCAGTTGTGCTGGCTTGCTGACTATGAGAAGGGGGAAGTATCTCAGAATATAAGTCATCAATTTGAGAAACTGATTGTGAGGGAATTTGAGAGGATGTAATTTTGGTATTGAAAGGAAAAACATTTTCATAAAAGATGACATTTCTTGAGATGAAAATATTGTGATTTTCAAGGTTATAAAGAATGTAACCTTTCTTACCTTCTTGATATCCAAGGAAAACTGCTTTTCTGGCTCTAGAGGCAAATTTTGTTCTATGTGCTTGAAGAGATATGGCATAATATAAACAACCAAACACTTTTAGATGGATTAGTGATGGTGGATGTTTGAATAGGAGTTCATAAGGACATTTTGAATAAAGAAGAGGAGAGGGTAGTCTATTAATAATGTGGACAGCATGTTGAATGCAAAAATTCCATAGAGTTAGGGGAACATTGGAATGGAAAAAGATGGATCTAGCTACATTGAGTATATGCTGGTGTTTTCTTTCAACCACCCCATTTTTTTGGGGTGTCTCAACACATGTCTTTTGATGGATTATGCATTTTGAAAGAAAAAAATCAGATAAAGCTATGAACTCAGTTCCATTGTCAGATCTCAGACATTTAAGGGTTGTTTGAAACTGGTTTTCAATATAGGATATAAAATTGATGAGGCTAGTTTTAGTTTGGTCTTTAGTTTTAAGAAATATAACCTAAGTATGTCTTGATTAATCATCCACATAAGTCATCATGTAGAATATTGAAAGGAACAAAAGACATAAAAGTACTATTACGAAAGGGAAGTTTTCTTTGTTTAGCAAAGTGACAAGAGTCACAAGGTACATTGTAATTGTTACATGTAATGAAAGGAAAAAAACTTAAAAACAATTTGTAAGCCTATATTGGAAATATGACCTAAGCGCAAATTCCACAAATTACAAGAAGTATGAGTAGTAGATTTATTTGCAGAAAAATGAGGAGGAGTGGAATCAAGCACATAGAGCCCTCTGTGCAAGTTAGCTATACCAATCATTTCCTTGGAATGATTCTGCATAATGTGGCAAGCATTAGCATTGAAATGAATAAAACATTGATTATGATCAACAAGCTTTGCTACAGAGATCAGGTTAACCTGAAAGCTAGGCACATAAAGAAAATTGTGTATGGTTAAGGAAGGTGATATGATAACAGTGCCAGATATAGAAGCAAGAACTTGTGAACCATCAAGCATATTTACAGGTATATGAACTATAGATTTATGATCAATAAAAGAGGAAATATTGAAAGAAAAGTGATCAGTGGCATCAGTATCTAGGATCCAAAGGAAGGGATTCTTACCAGCAACACTGGAGGAATGAGAATTCAGGACAAAGGGTGAGGTTTACACTGAGTTAGCTGCAGGGTTGGGCTTGGATTGTTGAAGTAATGCTAGGATGCTTTCATACTGGTCTTTAGTGAAACCAAACGAGGCTGCAGTGGAGCTCGCATGAGAAGACTCATAAGCATTATAAACAGATGCAACATGTGAATAAGATTGAATATTCCCTTGATTCTTTCCCTTAGGTCGATAACCTGGTGGAAATCCATGCTTAAGAAAGCATGTCTCAATCGTGTGATTCGTCCTGTTATAATGTGTGCACAATCTGGCATTTCCCCTTGCAGCATTAGAACCTTGATACTTAGCACGATAATTGTTATTACCATATTTAGCACCAGAATTTCCTGAGTGAGTTTGAACTTGAAGAGCAGAGACTTCTTTAGTGGAATCTGTAGATGAAACAATACCAGCAGCAGAACTATCCATTTCTCTTTCTTGATAAATAAAAAGTTAAAAATCTTTCTCAATATTGGGGAGAGGATTCATCATCATAATTTGGGACTTTGAGTGTGCAAATTTTTCTGATAATCTTTTGAGAAAGCGGATGACATAATCGTGTTCCCTATACGTCTTAACATATTCAATAGCACCACAAGAACATGGAATCATACAAGAACAAACAGGAATGGGTCGATAGTTCTCTAATTCATCCCACATGACTTTCAATTGCGTGAAATAGTTAGAAACATCAAGCATACCTTGACGAAACTTGTACATGTCCTCTTGAATATCAGAAATGCGGAAGATCATGAGAAAACCTAACTTGTAGATTCTTC